CTCTGATGCACTAAACCAGTTAAATATTTCTGAACCAGAATTTGACGCAGATTATTCAACTAGAGAAGAAGACCCAAGAGAAAAAAAAAAAAAAAAAGAAAAGAAAACCCAAGCATAAGCAGAGTGAGGAAAGGGTTGGTGTGAAAAAAACTGGTAAAAAAAAAAGGGACGATGTTGATGATGATAATAGAGTCGTATTATATAAAAGAAGAAAAGGAACTAGAACAAAAAGAAGAGAAAAAAGTTCTTCCCTACCAAGTCTTCAAGAAGTCATAACAACAACTACAAGCATAGCAGCAACAACCACAAGAACAACAGCAGCAACAACCATAAGAACAACAGCAGCAACAACTATAAGAACAATAGCAGCAACAACCGCAAGCATACCAGCAGTAACAACCGCAAACATACCAGCAGTAACAACCGCAAGTATACCAGCAGCAACAACCACAAGCATACCAGCAGTAACAACCACAAGCATACCAGCAGTAACAACCGCAAGAATACCAGCAGCAACAACAGCAAGTATATCAGCTGAAGCAACTACAGACCCATCAACAACAAGACCAAAAACATCTACAGTAAGGACCGATAAATTAATACCAGTAGATGTAGAAGAAAAAGACCCGCAAGTATATCGTGTAGATGATGATGAAAGTAAAGGTGAGGGTGAGGGTGAGGGTGAAGGTGAAGGTGAAGGTGAAGGTGAAGGTGAAAGTGAAGATAAAAGTGAAAGTGAAGACAAAGATGTGGTGCAAAAAAAAGATAAAGGGAAATGAAAAAGGAGAGACAAAGATAAAGGAAAAGGAAAGAAAAAACGAAAAAAAAGGTGATAAATAAAAATATTTTATATTTTATTGTTTTAATATATCAATGTATTAGCAAATAAACTAATAAATATTAAATTGGCTAATATAATATAAATATTGGCTAATATAAAGTTAAGCATCTAATAAATGAATATTAATGAATATTGTATAATAAAGCGATATTTTCATATATAAAA